ATGAAGCTTGGGATGACGTTTTTGCTTGTAACATTCAAGCGGACCACCCGCTTAAAATGCTTGATATCATTTGGCCATACATTCGTGACCACGAGTTGCGTTTTGAATGTCAGCCGATTGATGCACAATGCTTGTGGCACATTGTCCAGTCCCGTAATCCCCAAGCCGCCCCAGGACTTGATGGATGGCGGACTGGTGAGCTCCAATTGATGCCAGCTGAATGCTTTCGACCATTCGCCACCGTTTTTGCTGCACTTGAAGTGTCAGATGATCCTTTACCACCCACTTTGACTTGTGCTCGTCAGATGATCCTTAACAAGAATGGGTCTTCTCACCCCATGCAGAAACGGTTGATCACGGTATTGCCAATTTTATATCTGGCATATTCGGGTGCCCGGTTTCGTCAATTGAGAGGTTGGCAAATCAATTCCATGCCTTCCCAGCTTGTAGGAGGGGTGCAGGGAAGGAACATGTCAAGCATACAGACGCAGATGAAGCTTGACATTGACATTGCCAGTGCCCAAGGTTTTGACCTGATAGGCATGAAGCTTGACAAAGCTAAATGTTTTGATCGGGTGATTCCATCCTTTGCATCTTGTCTGATGTTGGCCTTTGGCATTGACAAGAAAATTGTCACGATCTTCAGCAAGCTGTATGATGGCCTGCACCGACACCTCTCCTATAAAAGCTGGTGGTCACCAACGGCTACCCATGCTGCCAACGGAATAGCCCAGGGAGACAGTTTCTCGCTTGTAGCAATCAATGTCTACTCCAAGGTCTGGATAGTTTTCATGGATCTGTTACCGGAAGTGGTTGCCATGGCATACATAGATGACGCATATTTGTGGGCAAGATTGGAGCATGCGAGCAAACTTGCTCATGCAGTCGAGATCACTCGCTTTTGGGATCTCTTGTCTGGCCAGCTACTTAATGACAGTAAATGTGTTGTTTGGGGCACCTCCACCAAAGCTCGCAAGGTTTGCAAACAGCTGTGGCCTAACATGTCTCTTCAGCTTGAGGTTGAGGTTTTGGGTGCTTTTGTCACCACCTCCAAACGCCTTGCCTTTCATTTTGGACTTGAAGACACAGGCCATTGTTAAGGAAATTAAACACATTCGAGCTCTTCCTATTCCGGTCAACGTGAAAGCCTTTTTTCTTGGAGTGAAGGTGATTCCGCGTTTCTGTTACGCTGCCTCCCTCAACCAGATCCCTAAAGAGGTTTCAAAGAAGTTCCAATCAGAAATTGTGCAAACTCTCTGGGGACGTCGCCCCCACTGGACATCCTTGGTCATGACCTTCCTCTCAGAACCACATAGAAATGACCCAGTGTGCACACTAGCATATCATGCAGTGATGGATTTCTTGAGATTTTTAAGGATGCCTGGTAATGGGCGTGACAAATGCCTATGGGCGGCGGCACATTGTACGGTAGAGCATGCTCTTTTGTCCAAGATTAAGGAAGCTTTTCGCTTCTTTGGCCTGTCTTTGTCACCAGATCTTGTTCTTTCCTTTGGGGGTAAACCTCTCATGCCTGCCTGGGACCTACATCCAAAAGATATTAAGATGTTGTTGCATAGGCTTTCTCGGCACCGTTGTTACCTTGAGGCTGCAAATCAGCATCGCAAGGACTTTCGCATGCCTTCAGGCATCCTTGATTATGATCTCACGTGTGGACTGCGAGATAAGTCCACCATCAAGCATGAATCAAAAGCCGTAGTTGAGAGCCACTTTGTTGCCCAATTGGTTGGCTGCACGCTGACACGAGACCGATTGTGTGCAGCCAGTTTAGACACATCGGACAAGTGCCGCTTTTGTGGGTGCGTGAAAGAATCTTTAGCTCATCTGGTTTTTGATTGTGAAGCTTACCATGCTTTGCATCCTCCTGAACCTGTTCATGAGTTTGGCTCCAATTTTGGGCTTCTGGGTATTGTTGAGCACCCTGTAGGTGTTGTGAAACATCGACTGCAGTGGAACGATCCCAATGACCTCCTTGTTGCTACTTTCCAACCCTCGGCTCCTCGAGTCAGCTGGTGGTCAGATGGCTCAGTGTTTTGGCCAGATGTTTTCTGGCTTTCGGCTGGAGGCTTTTCCATAGTCAATGACCGCAACCAGGAAATCTTTGGTGGCCCGGTTCATCATCTTCATATTACATCATATACGACGGAACTTTGGGCTGTTGTTGTAGCAATTCATAAGTGTGCTGCTCCAACCGAAGTGTTCACTGATTGCCAGACAATTGTTGACCAGTTCCAAGTCTTGCAAACAGACGGTGCACCACATACTACATGGTCCCACTTCTCGTGGTGGCATGCTATCAGCATCAGGCTCCAAATCTTGTTGGATTTCCATCCGGATCCATTTGTGGTGTCTTGGATTCCTTCACATTTGTATGAACACCTTCCTGAGTGTTTCATTACACAAGCCATGGCGGACGCCAAAAAGACGGAAGTTCGACATATCATTGGAAATCGTTTTGCTGACAAGTTTGCCAAGGAGCATGCTGTGCAGGCCACGAGCGTGCACCCCTCCGATGAACAAATGTTAAAGCAGAGCATCATCAGAAGACAGGATTGGCTGACAATGCTGAACCTTGAGATTGCAGCGCTTCAGAAATCTGACCAAGAAAGCAAGCAGGAAGCCCGCTTAGCTGAAGAGGAAGCTTCTGAAGATGTTTTTGCACTCTTCCCTCATTGGGAGTGGGAGCCGCAGGTTCAGCAATTTCCATGGACACCCACGTTTGTTTTCCTTCCTGATAAGTTTCCACCGCAATGGGCGTCGAAATCTAATGACTGGAAAATTCTGGGTTCCTTTTTTGCGTGTCAACAATGGCGGCTCGCTGAGGATGCAGTCACCTCTTATGTAGAATTGGCTGTTTTGTTCCACTTACAGGGCTTCCGCCTTCCGTCGCAGGATACATCGCTTCATACTTTTCGGGATCTTACGGCTGAAATCCGTCAGTTTGTGGCGTCCATCCGCGTCGACTCAGGTATATCATTTGTGCCAGGTTGCCATAACAGACACCGGAACAAAAGTATCGGCAAATCACTTCCCAACGGAACGATCGATGGTGCAGAGATTTTCATCTCGAGAGAGAACAAGATTCGGTTCGCACGAATACTTGCTGGAGTTTCCACTGCCCGCCTTCAAGCATGGGCTTTCTCCTTGGATAGCGCTGAGTTTTAATTCGGGGTTCACATGTGAAATCATATGTGTGAAGGATACTTGGCAGAATGCCTGGTATGCCAGACGAGACTTTTCTCGCCGCGACAGGAAGAACAGAACAGACATGAATAGACTACCGGAACGTGGTTTTGTAACATACCATTTGGGATTGGGTAAATAATCATTTGGGTATATAATCCCATTACCAGTAACAGTGAATGATGATTGTTGATTAGTAAAGGATAGTAGTAAAGGCCCTTCTCTTAAATAGCGATTTGCTTGTGTACTGACTGTTACACTGTTACAGGTAAGTTCGGGAAAAAAACAACAAATCCCGATCCCGCAAAAGTGCTGCAGGTATCGGCGATTGAAAATATTGAGAAGAATTCACGTCGGTGTCGGTGCTGTAGAAACATGACGCTCGATGAAACAAACATGGAAGTGGACGATCCCCTGTTTGTGAAGGACAATAGTATTCCAGGAGGCCGTTGTCCAAGGGACATACTCTGCATAATATCCACTCACTGCATGGAAAAAGGCATAAAAAAAAAAAACATGCTTTCTGAGTGTATTGTCCAATATAATTGGAAGCGACTTCGTGCTGGCCACGCATGTCCGCGGAACGCAGCAACGGTTGTGCAGTTGGTGGTTAGGCGGAACTTAAATTGAATTGTATCCCCAACTATCGTCATCAACGATTCCGATGCTCATCTGTCAAATCGAGTGGGCTATATTCGGAGGAACTATATAGGTTCGTTCTTGTGGTTTTCAATCTGCTCAACATCGAAAGTAGAAACCTCGCTCACCGCTTCTGACCAACACGCCCCACAAAAAGGTTGATCCCGAATTGGATCTCAATGAAATAGGAACTGAAGGCGATCAAAACCTTTGTGCTTTCATCACTTGGCGTGTGCAGGGGCGATCGAAACTCTTCCGCCCCCAAATGAGAAAAAGAAGACCTACAGGTCTAAAATGGTCTAAATCTCTTAATTTACACTCATGTCACATGTCCATGCCATGTCATATGTTTCCTTGAACACTCCAGAGACCAGGTACGGAAGTCCGCGTTCATCCTCCAGTTCGCATCCGACCAGAGAGGACCGTGCGGTCCGCAGCAAGGCTTGCAAGCGGAATCACAGCGAATTGGCCGGCGAAGGAGACAACGAGGAAAGAGATGGATGGATTACCATGTTCGGAATCACAAGCAGGTGGTGGTTTTCCACTTGCCATGATTCCTTTAGAGCATGTATATGTTTCATGATGTTTTTCTGTTGATTCCTGTGGGACTCCCAACCGTCAACGAACCAACCGTCATGGCCCCTATTTATCGGCCTGGCCTTTTCAACACCTCAGCTGATCGAAACCAGAAAAAAAGCACCGGATGCAAAGCATCCCGATTTTCGGAAGGTCCTTATGTTAAATTCTAACATCAAAAGGACAACATGGCTATACCGCTATACCCAGCAAGTTCCTATGCCTGGATAATCTAAGATATCAACAAATAGAACCTATATGCTTTATTTGCATGCCTCATGCCAACAATGCGATGTCAGTCCTCTTGTTCCATGATCCTTTCAGCATCTCTGCTTGAGTGACGAAAGGGGAACTGCGGCCGCTGGCTGAAACCGAGACTGAGCCCATTCCACTGGTGTTCACATTTCTTCACCCCACTCCACCGTGTTTGGTGACTTCCAGGCAACATACCTAGACTATCCTGTCGACTTCTTGATCCCTATCCTCGGTGAATCGTCCCATTGCGCATCAGCGCATCAGCGCCCTGAGCCCTTGGGAGTCGGAATGAGTGAACTCGGGTACCTTCCACTCACCGACGGACTCGCCTGAGCCAAGCTCTCGCCATAGGTCTTGATGTTGTCCTGCGAAAGAGCGGATATCGTGCGAGGAGCGCCCGCGGCTTCCCGCAGGGGCCCTGATTTTCGCAGCGTCCGAAAGCATGTCAACTGACCCCTTCAATTTGCCTGGAATAGAGGCTATATCCATGGCTATCCTGTTTCCATGCTTTTTGTTAAACGGGGAAACTGATCCCCCCCAGAAGGTTAACGGGTAAAGGTTGTCCCGCTTTTCCTGGGTAGGTAAATATGAATGACAACCACGACTAGCCAGTTGGGGGGGGTGCAAAGGGCGTCTTGAAGAGCCATGCTGCCATGGCCAGGGCAACAAACTTGCACTTATATGCATGCTGTGCCTAAGGTATATACATAAGGTATACTATATACAAGAGGGTAAAATGAAGGGCCCATATCAAGGGTCCATGGTTTTCTTCTTTGAAATGCAAGTGTGTCAACAAAGAAACCTTTTATGATCCTTCAGGATTCTGCACGCCGCTCGGGTGGCCGAGCAGGAAGGGTCCTTGTACCGTACCACCTAAACTCTTAAGAACTGTGAGGAAACGAGAGAGGAGAGTAGCTGACAAGATCAAACATTAAAGAGCAAAACGGATGAAAAAAGGAAGTCACTTAGTATCACTACAGTGGTAACCACTAACGTCACACCCACACTGCCTTTTCTTTGATCCATGCCAAACCTCACTGCAGTTGCTGACCTCCACCGCCCCGTTGGTGCCCAAACCCACCGTTGATCCACCACGCCGATCCGATGCCGCGGAGCGCCGCTCCGTGCCCCACAAGGTGAAGGCGATGGATTCCGGCAACTCGCCCTGCGGGGAGCCGGGGAGGTCGCCAGTCGAGGCAGTAGGGGTGTGATCGAGCCGGTAGGGGTGGTGTGTTGGTCGAAAGACAGCTGGATGTTGGTCTGGTTTGAGTGGGTTTCTTCATGAACAGTTTGGGGTTCTAAATCATGAAGCAACTGAGGCGAATGTTTCCCAGAATCGTCCAGAACATCTTCTGGAGCTCCTGCTGCTGGGTGAGCGACTCCAGGAGTCGTTCGACCACCACGAGGGCCACGTCGCAGGCCGCCTGGGCCACGGAGGGATCACTTAGAAGGGGGGCGACAATTGAGGAGTGGTCCAAATCAAATGAATCGAGGAGTGGTCCTGGATGTTTCTTTTGCGTTCATTTGTCAAAGGCATTTGGAAAGCTTTGGATCTTGTAGTCACAGTATGCCACAGCCGTTGAAAAACATGATATAAAGGAAGATTGCCAACATAGCACTGCGATTCACTCTCAAGTTCCACTTGATTCAGTCCTGGTATGTCCTGGTGATAATTCTCCATGTCTCGTAAAACACATCCAAACCGGAACGCCCTCAACATTGATCAGTGAACCTTGGACCTTTTGGCGATGCCGAAGCCGCGGGTCTCAGTCAGCTCATCTCAAGACGCGTCGCACCGGCTATGAAAATTGAAAAGGGATTGACCATATTGGCCACCTCCCTCTTCATCCTCTTCCTAGTTAGTTGAACGCCTGGACATCAAACACATAACAACACAATACAATACTCCCATGTTCCTCCGCCACCAAGGCCTTGGTGGGAATCGAGTTGGGGTCCAAGGCATGCATGTTCTTTCCCGTGGGCAGCACCTGAGCATCGACCGAGTTTCTTCGTGTTCCAGCGACGGTTTATATACATGATCTGCTCTACAGGGCCCTGGTTCAGGTCAAACCATAGGTGACCTGGCAGTGAGGATGCTGGCTACCAGTCACAGAGCGAGCGAGGCGGGTGCTGTTTAGTCCATTTTAGTCCCATGTTCTGCGATGTTCCCCGACGAACCATGGATCGCACGAACCACGAAGCATGGTTTCCTGCTGGGTGGGACTTGCAGGGGACGAATAGACATCGAATCGACTCAAATACGAACCAGTGGGAGGAAGAGAGGTTCGATGGCAACCCCCAGTCGACTTCGTTTTCTGTTTATATAGCGGCTCCACTACTAAACCACCGAACTTGGGGATTGTGCCATCGAAACTCTCAACCCACTATGTATCCATACAGGACTCCCTACAGGTTGTTGGAGCAAGTGAGTGGTGTTTGTGTATGACCCAAACCAAGAGAGTGAGGTCAAACTGACCTGTAGGCCTGTAGGGCATCGTGGCTTCTTTTAAAGGAGAAGCTATGTTTTTTTCATGGATGAGAACCGATTCTGTCGCTCTCGGACAAAGAGTGCTGTGGATGGCCACAGCAAAATCCCACCATCTTGGTCTTGGTCATTGGTCATGTAATGGCCATGTAATGTCATGTAGAAAAGACATGTAATGACTCAGGCCATGTAATGACTTTGTGGTCATGTCTTTTGTCATGTAATGTATTGTTCTCAAAAGATGCGTTGCACACAAACAATGTGTAAGAAAATGATCCCGCCAAATCCAAGTAGTACTGATAGACTCATACGCGCTCTATAGACTTAAAATGACTTAAACACTCTTAGTCTTGCACAGCTAAGGCCACTGCTTCGTCTCGTTCGGACAAAACGGTCGAAACCACCGATGCGAATGCCCAAGGCACATCGGGGTTCCGGATAGGATCACCACCGGGGCCTCCATCGGCGGCCGTCCGCGGTGGAGGTTGGAGGTTGGTGGTTTGCCTTTTTGTCCAAGACTACTGGTTGCCTGTCGACTTGCCCCTGGTTGACATGCTCCTATTGTGGACATGCTTGAACCCATTGCTTTTTCGTCGATTGACGTTTCTTGATGTTTTTTGTATGTTGCATGACGTTGCATGCATGGTCTCTGAATGTCTCTTCACATCCTGGCCTTTGGTCAAGCCACGGTTCAAACCAAACTGGTACCGTTTGGAAGACCAAGAAGCCACCGTTGAAGGGGGGTCGGACTTTGAGGATTCGAAGCACCGGATTTCCGCCACAGGGAAGATCATGTGATCGATGAAACACGAACTCAAAGGGCTCCAAGTCCCGCCTGGTTTATACCTCAAACACTCCATGTACCCAAAGGCTCATGGACCCGCATTTTAGTGGAGGGTGGGGTCTCAATCGCCCCGGGCTGTGAACGGAGCGTCTGGGTATGGCAGGATTCAACCATTACCCCAGTCCTGTGGAGCGTCCGGGTGGCAGGGCGGCAGGGTCAAGATTTGATGAGCCTCTGAGCCGTCCTAGTTCTGAGTTCAACACAAAGGATACACATGCCAGGCGGAAAAACACCATTCTAAGGGTAGGTATGTACATGACTAATAGGGGCTAATAGAATCTAATAGACACCCATAGACACCTCTAAGGGGCTAGCAAGGATAGACACCCTTTAGGGGGGGGCTCTATTTTTCCCTCGTTCGCCTCAGGACCTCCTCCACCAGGACCTCCCCTCCGGAACGAGTGACCAGCCCAGCACCAGTGCGCCGCTCGTCGTCGGTTCCTTCCCGGCCTGGCTCGATGAATTGTCCGTCCAAGGCCTTGAGCAAGGTGGGCACCTCGTTGTTGCGCACCACTTCGCCCAGGCAAACCTGCAGGTACCTCGGGGGTCGCAGACGTCACCCGAGAGGAACGGGCGACGAGGAGCGGAGTGAGGAGGATCGCCGTGGAGTCGAGGGAGGTCTTTGTTGGTTTCGACCCTTTGGTGTTTGCTGGTCGCATACGGAAGGGTGAGCTGCGCCCAAGCTGAATTTGGTAAAGGAGTTGGGAACCTCCTGCGTGTCCTGAAGCCATACACGTCTACTCCACCGAAACAAACATTGGCATGTGGGGAAAATTCAGCTATGAGTCTCCTTCAGTGCACTGTACAATTGATCCATCGATCATGTGTCTGGCCGTGTGTCAATTAGGAAAAGTTTTGCCTGAAGCCACAAGATCCTTCACATTATACTGCACTACTCGGTAAACAGCTGTGCATATAATAGACCAAGCCAACATGCATACAAGGAACACACATATATAATTCATCAAAGAAACATATACCAAAGCCCCCCGAGGGTGTGTCTATTCTTGGCCCCGAAAAAAATCGAAGAAGAAAGGTCAAGGGGTGTACAAGTGTACCATTAACGATCCCTTGTGGGTCCAGGTACAACACATCAAATTGACCGCCATCACCAGTCGCCTGAGCCAGCAAAACAGTAGTTAATTGTTGGAGTGGGCTATTTGCCAATCTGTGTTAGCTTTTCTGCTAACACCACGTGTACAATGCTTCGAATACACTCTGTACGGGGTGCGATGCAATCTGCATAAAGTCTTGTCATGTCTACTTCTCGCGAAAGGTTTCCACACCGAGCCTACAACAAGGTCAATTCTACTACTACGACTACTACTGCTACTACTACTACTGCTACTACTACCACTAATTACTGACTTTCAAATGAAATTATTCCAGAAAATGTCTAGGGTTCAGGGCCTACAAAAAAGATGTTAAACAAACAAAGCAATCATTTGAATTATATAATTTGATTATATGTGAAAAGCTCACAAAGGGTACCGCTCACAAGGGCTGGTGCTCCCTCAATAATCTGAACTACTACCCCCTACCCCGTATTAATTTGATCCTGTGTCCCTGGCCTTTTTGGTTTGTGTTTGTTTAAACTTATTACGACTGCCACTACCCCTACTACTGCTGCTGCTGCTGCTCCTCCTCCTACTACTACTGCCCGAAAAGATCCGAAAATATACGAAAATAGGTTAAGGGGATTTAAGGAGTGTCTGTTAACCAAGAATTGGTTTAAGGGAACATCTACAGGACAACCGCATCATTTTGGGGGTCAAAATGGTTTCTTTATGTTTCTTTCCTGCAGGTGTTCCCTCAAACCAATTCTGGGATATCAATAACCCCTTGGGGGTCCTGGTCCAGCATGACACGTCTCATCTGGTCTCTTCCCCCAAGGTCCGCCGAGATGCTCGAAGAGCGGCTTAAGGTCATCGTCGGGACAGTCGAAGCCACACTGGCCAGGTGCGATGTCAATGTAATGACACCCTGAACCCTAAACCCTAAACAGGTACAGAGTTTTGGGCCAGGTTAATCTCCAAATACTGGTTATGAAACCCTACTGGTTCAAACACGTTCAAAAACAAAGTAAAACCTAGTCCTGAGGTCACCTCATTAAGTAGTGTCTTTGTTTGTATGACCCGCTTTGGTGATATGATGTGAAATGAGATCTTTGACCTGTAGGGACATATAATGACTGGTGATTTTGCAGCAACCAATCCGATATGACTCCTGATGCTTCCCAGCTCTGTTCACACACAAACCAATGACCCCAAAGCCCCAAAGCTCATAAAACCTCTTACATCATCTTCATTAATCTTCACGTGTCTTCCATCTTCCAAACCTTCCCCCCATGTGTGTCTCCATGTCGTGACCGACGGTTTTTTCGCGTCCAGGACGCGTCCCCGAGACGCGACACGGGACACGCGGCCGCGGCCTCGGCGAGGGCCTTCTTGTACACGGAGCCGCCGGAGAAGAAATCAAAGACACCCTGCAGGGCGCTCACCTCCTCCACTCGCCCCTCCTTGCGACCGGTCTCGGAAGCGGCGGATCGCCGGTGGAATGCTGAGGATGCCCCCGAGGTGGATGATGGTGTTGTTTTGGGTGCTGGCCGAAAAGCATCGCATGGATTCTTGACGAAGAAATACAAAGAAAATTGGGGAGTTGCAAAGGACCCGCTGGGGGGATTGGACATGAACAAATGCAATGGGATCAGGGATAGCCTGATATCAAGCCTCACTGGTTCCTCGGTTCCTCAAGAAAGGTTTGTGTTCTCATAAATAGTGGAGGATCAAACATCTCATCGATTGATTGTCAAAGGATGTCAAGGGTTTGCATACTATATGTTGAGGACAAATGTGGGTATGTGAGGACCCAGGGAATTCAAATGTTGACATGCGTTCCACCAAAACATATGCGACTTTGGTTGAGATAAATTTCAAAACATCTTTCCCACCTTTGGTGAAGAAAAAAGATTGCAAAAGGACTCCTCCTCTACTCATGCGAACCAAGGACTGAGTGCGAAACCTGAAATACAACGCGACTTGGGAGAGCCGGGAAAAAAATTACTGTACGATCGATCCCGAACCTATATGAGTCTATTTTGGAGTTGTATCCCAACCTACATATATGATGGGGAATGGGGATGAAACAAATTTACGATCGATCTCGAACGGAATTGGATGATCCATGACTTGGCCTCCTGGCCGCTTGAATCCCTGGATGCGGAAAATGTCAAAGCAAATACATATACTGTCTATAATTACTGTAGACTGTGAAGAAAACAAAGCACATGTATACAATATCCTGGGAGTCCAAGGCTGTGTTTAAATGTGATTGACCTGGTTTTGTGTAAATCTTCAGCAGAACAATGGTGGTTGCCCCGCGACCCAGCCCGCTACCCTGCTTTACCTCCCCACAAAAAGAAAAAAATCACCCGCTCCGCATTGGTGGACTGCTGCACCAGCGCGCCCACCGCCGCGCGGCTGGCCAGGGTAATGTCTTGGACCAAGGACACATCCTGCCACCGAGTTTTGAATGAAGCTATCGTCACAGTGGAGAAGAAAAACATAGAAAAACGGGGGTCGAAGGGAGGGAGCGAACGAAGGCGGTGTGTGTTGTTGTTTTCTTTAAAAGAAAATGAAGAGGCAGTGTAGCTGTGTAGCCAACTAGCTGTGTAGCCTAGCTGGGGAAGTCTTTTGCTGACCCTTGAGAGGTGACTGACTGGTGAGTCAACTGTGCTCGGAGGTCGTCAGAGTCGTCACACATTGGTCATTGTATTGACTGTCCATGTCCACTTGCAGAATTGTTGACACAACTGTTTGTTTTGTTTGCTTTGTGAACTCCTCAGCTGTCCAGGATTTTGGGGTCCAGCCACATCGTGTGCGCTTCTTTTGTCTCCTTCAGACCATCTCTGACATTCTATGTACCCGAAACACCCAGCGAACATGTCCGGAAAAAGCTCAGCAAAAAGTGAGTCCCCAAACCAACATGTCATGTCAGTCGACTTGATTAACCACAGCCAGCTCTGTTTGCTGTTGTCTCTTCTCTTCTTCTCTTCCTATACCGTAGCTGCGTAGCCAACGACCTTTATTGGGCCCTTCCGGCCTCCAGGTTGCCATCGTTGTTGCCCTTGTAGACCGCCTGGCCGTGGGTGGCGACACGATCGCCACCGGTCGCATCAGGATTTGTAACAAGAAACTACGCACGGTGGAGGCTATCGCTAGTCACCACCCAAAGGATGGCTTTCTAAGAGATCTGCAAATGTATTTTCTTTGGGATGTAGCACTGTCCCCTTCTTGTCGTTTTCTTGGATAAGAACAACGAATGCAGTAACTTGTTTCTGCACTGTTCAGTCCTAGCAGGGGACCCAATCCACCAAAAAAGGTTTTGCAGGTATCCACTTTTCCTGGGTAGGGCCGGCGGCAACTGCCCCACCGTTCCTCAATGTCTTTGCCCCTGCTCTCAGCAATGATGCGGGGGAGGCTCTTGATGCCCATATCCTCGGCCCAGTGGCACAAGTGCGCGGTTTGTAGCGCTTTTTGGGTTTCTGCATCTCGAAAGCCCTTTGTGCAAGTGTTTGGAACATCATGACTATGATTGACTATACCTTATTATACTTGAAGTTCTCGGTCAAAACAACCTGTACAAACACCAGCAACAATGTATAATATCAATAGTATCATCGTAGCATTGAATTTCCTTCTTCGATTCCTCGTCTTCCTATCGATCGACAAACTGGGGGTTCGGCATCCACACCTCATCATCAAACCGAACTAAACAATCCCTGGAGCGCCAAGGATAGATGCAAGTAGCTGCAGCGAACTCATGCACCGAAACGAGCGAGTTCAACCCGAAATTGTCCTTCAAAGGCCGTTGAGGGCCTAGGGCTTAAAAAGCACCTCACGCGCACCTCACACAACTTACTCGACTTGGGAGATGGGTCAAAACCTGGAGCCCTGGATGCACGAACTTCTAGACACAATAAAAGGGTTCGGTCTCCTGGTGCCATGATCCCTCCCGTTCGCCCATCGTGGGAGCACTTCACGCCCTACCCCCCCGCGTTGACCGTCGCCCCGCCGGCGCCGCTCCGGGCGGTCCGGTGGCCGATGCCAAGCGTCAGGGCGGTCCAGCTGAGCGATGTTCACCAGGGTGGCCACGCTCTCTTCGGCCGAGGGAGGCACTCCCACCTGTTCTTCGCTGCGGCCATCGGCAACGCCCGGTCCGGGGATTTGGTCCAAGGTGATCGATGCGTTCAAGAGTCAACCGCCGGTTGTCCGTCGAAACGCGATAAAAACGCGGAAAGAAAGAGCTGTATCTGTAAACCTTGCTCGGTAGAAACATGTTCCAAGCCCAAAAAAGCATGCGCCTGAGGCCCACTTCTATGCCCAAAGAGTGTTCAAATGGTCTTTTGTGTTCTTCCAATCCAGCCCTCGAAAAAGCAGGGGTCTTCGTGGCCGTTTTGAGTGACACACCCATGATTCTCATAGAGTTCCTACATAGATTCCCACGTCGTCCCCTCTCCAAGTATATTCCCAATGGGAATGGAACATTACAAGCATCTCCAAACATCCACCTGGCTCTTCAGAACCCAAACACTCCATGTATGCAAACACAATGGCGTGTTTTTTGAATGGTTTGGAGGGTCAATGTGGCCATCTAGTCCAGTCCCATGGAGTGTCTGGGATATGCAGCTATTCATTGGTACAAAAACACCATCCATGTAACATGTATGGCATATTTGCCGACGTTGACCCCTGAAACAGCCTCAATGTAGGCAAATATGCCAGTCTCCGTGAAAAAGACACGGTGCTGCTGGACGACTGCTTCGTGACGTCGTGCGTTCTCCTCAACTCGGTGTGGCCGGCCTGGTGGAGGCCCATGGGCAAGGCGCGGGATTCGATCTCCATGAGGAGCTTGTAGACCATGCCCACCACCTGAGCCGGCATCACCATGCGGTCCACGAACGATGAGCTGCGGTCCACGTGTTTGGACCGCACGAACGATGGTGGATTCCAAACGATCCCGCTGGCTGTAGAAAAACAGAGCCGGGGATCGGAACAGGTGTTAGTTCACCCGCGATGTGATGAGAAAACCGGAAGAAAACAGTGCAAACAATGGTGCAAACCGCACAACCCAAGCCCAATTGGTTTAAATGCACCTACCAGGTGCACCTACCAGGACCATCCTGTCTCCGTCACCTGGCTGGACTAGCCTCCACGATCTCCAACCAGGACAACACAGGATGGTTCCGGTTATGAAAAACCCATCTTCGCGCCATGGCCCGGTCGTGGTGTCCATCGGCCCCGAGTGGCATCATCCCTCTCGTCCATGGTCTTCTTTGCCATGTCATCCTGACGCGTCGTCGGCCAAAAGCGTTTTCTGTCCGCATGACCATGTGTTGGGGAAAACATTGCGAGCTGGAAGCGGTGTAATGAGTACAACGTAAGCCTACGCAAGAATACCAAAGGGTTAAGATTTTAAAGTATAATTGATAATGCATCTAAAACAAAAACATGGACCCTCACCAAAATCATTGGTTCTGACGCTACTAGGGGCTCCTGGCATCGCTACGAACGGAGCAAGGACGCTACGAACGGGGCTCCTGGCCTCGTTCCAGAAAAGCGAACCGATGCACAAAGAAAGACCACCACGAGTGACTCCCAAAGACCACCGACGGACCGCAGGCACGGGTCGTGTTCTGAGGGGAACATAGAGTTGGCAACAGCCTGGTCCATACACTCAGCCCTGCAGGCCCTGCTCAAATTTGCATCTTGTTATCAAAAATAAACTATGTAAACATGTTCAGTATTATGACATGTAAAAACTAATCATCAAAGTTCATCATGATTTGCTACGTGGCATGAGGAAATGCTAGCAGCGTTAGTGAGTTGTGGCTCTACGCACGGGGAGGTGGCTAGTACCTAGGGTATCTTAATTAAGTAAACCATAGTAAAACCACAATTTCTCAATGTGTTTCTATCACATATGTCAAATTGGGAGTTAGCATGAGTTAGCATAATCCTGGAACTGGTACAGTATCGCTCTTCTCAAGATGTTTTGGCCCGTGTTCATATCATATATTAATTGAACTGCTCTTCAACATACTATGAAAGTTATGTGCCTTGAATTGTTCAGAAAAGTTGTTTGTTTTATGTATAGCTAAACCAACAAAAAGCAACACATATGCCTAATCTCTTTCAAAGTGTTTGTGTTGCTGTTAAAGGGTGGGTTGACGTGGGTTGTATATATCTACTCTCATCTATATACTTAACTATTCTATTGCTGGTCGTGTGCACCCTTCATCATCAGCTGATTCACTTCAACAAGTTCCACCAGTGCATCAACATCCACCGCCCCAACACCTTCGGCCCCTCGAGTTGTGGGCGGCCTCCTCGCTGGGCAAATTCTCGATGTCCTGACGGCGACGGCATGGGGTTGTGTGGCCCCAGGCGAAGAAAGCAAAAAGAACAAACCAATTGGGTGCAACCTGCACCTTGGACTGGACCGTGTGGAGACCAAAGACTGTGGGAACGGGGGATCTTCGTGAAAAGCCCCAACCTACATCTGGTGAACGAACGGCCGCGATCCGCCCAGCCCCCCCGGGTGGGTGTACCGGTGTTCCGGCAAAGCTGGAGTGCCAGCTTGGTCAAGTGGGTGTGTAGTTTCATAGGGCGAACACGCCCTGGCGCTGGGTAGACTGGATATTGGAGGAGATCACCTGACAATAGACATCACATCGCCGGCGTGCCATACGTGTCCGTGTCCTATGTTGAGACAACAAATTGTGGTAGAGGTTTCAGCCGCGTGCATCGTGGCCGCGGCCTGAAGAGATTTTATCCTCCTGGTCTGGGTGGTTTATTCATCCAAGAGTCTAGAGGTATATTGCAATAATTTACAATAATTTACAATATATCGATTACACAATATTATATTCCCTTTGAGCAGCTGAGCGTGTTGGAAAGAACATCCAAAATCTTTCCTGCTGGATTCTTTGCCGGTCCTTGTCCAAATTGCATTGACGAGCCGTCGCAACGATGCTGTTCACAATGGAAGCGCCTCGACACCAACAGCAGAGGGGAAGAACAGCAGCGCTTGCCACAACAATCAGGCAAGAGGGGCAGGAGTGGAAGTTGTTGCCAAAGGAGCTGGAAAAGGGTGGACGCTGTGGATACGCTTTACAAAGGGTATGCATGATATTCTGAAACAAGCGTTTTGAATGGGCGAAATCAAGGAAAAGGTTTCTTGTATTTGTGTTGCCCTTCTGAGATCCTCTACAGTATATGTCACTGTGATATATCGCTTGGTTGGCCATGACTGCGAGAGTGACACATTAAATGTCTTTCCCAAGGGTGGGCAGACTACAAAATGTTGAACCCTAAAGGTTAAGGTTTTAGGGTTGAGGGTTTAGGGTTCGCCAACACAGTTGGCGCCCTAGTCAAACTCTGGCCATGACAGGAGAAACAGCACATACATTTATATATCGTCCACACCCTACACTCCATAATTTCATTTTTTAGTTAAAGGTGTTTTGTCCTTTGAAGCTTCAATGTTGTTTGCCTCTTCCACTTCAAGGCTTTGGAAAATGTCCAACCTTGAGGCTTCGAAGTTTGTCTTAGGTACCAAGGGCCTGGACATTCCACAACATGCAACCTGGGCCAACCAGCGTGCAAGCTGGGAGGCTCAATGTGTTGTCAAGCCTTGACGCTTTAAGGTTTGGAGGCGGGTAGCCAAGCTATGCCTGCTGAGTTTAGGATTACGTGTTCAAAACAGATTGGAAACAAACACCTTGCAGCTTACAATCTTGGCTGGGCCAAGTTTGAAGCCATGTTATTCTGGCTTAAAGCTTGAAGGAAACTGCGTTCAAACTTTAGGCGTTTTTAAGCTTAGCTTCTTTCTTAGCAAAAAGTCTCTGGACCAGTTGGCTTCCTGTGCCCAGTGGTTCCCCGACAAAGCAAAACGACATCACAAAGAGTGACTAGACTAGACTTGCCCTGTCACGCTCTTCTCATCACAGCTCTTTCCCGGTCCCTCAAAACCCCCCCTAAAAACAACATGAGGGTCCACGGTCGCGTCTGGATGGATTCAACAACGGGTTCGAGGGGGTCCTTTCTCTCATCGCTCGCCCATTCCGCCCCCATTCGACGAGATCGGAGGTGGTGCCTCGTTGCTCATTCTCGCGCAAGCCCTGGTAGGACTTCACCAAGTCACTGAGCTCTTTCAGGCCCTGAAGGAGAAAACACATCATATCGATTCAGGGCCTTAGACTGGGTGGATTGGTTGGAACGAAGGTGGACAGCGGGTGGACAGCAAGTGAGTGGGAGGCCAAGGTGCTTCGATAGTTGAAGTGGAATCTGGCATTAGACTGGCTGTCGACGTCGAGAACGAGGGGACACTGGTTTTGGTGTTGTTTCAGGTTGTTTCCTCGATTGAAACATGCACAAACATTGACCCCATGTCCCATCCAAGCTAGCTAAACATCATTAAGCAATCCATGACAATCCGTCACCCGCTACGGGCCGCTTTTTAGACCCTATCTCCAAACAATCTGAAATAGACTCGAGTAGTCCATAAGAATCAACGTGGAGAACACACACACGCGCACACACACACACACACCAACCTGCCCAGCTTCCAACCTGCCCTGCTGAGCCTGCTGATCTACTCTCCCCCGCAGCTCAACCTCCTTTCTCCCGGCCCCAGAACCTCCACCCCGTCCCTCTGGCCTTGTAAAGCCCGGCGTTCTCCGCGGGCGGCGTCAGGTAGGAGATCGTCGAGGCATAGGAGCGACGCTTGGCGATCGTGGCCTCCGAGGGGTTGTTGGCCTGAGTCGCGAGGGGCCGAGCAGCGGGGCGGCCTGGAACCAACGGTTCAGCGGCGTGGAGTTGTTTGCTTCGTTTGCTTGGGTGAATGATTGTTTCCAAGGGGTTGCATGCGTAACTCTGTGTTCTGCACGTCCTGCAGATTTGTTGTTGCATTGAGCACCGAATGTGGACGGCCTTGTTGGGGTGAGATCTGCCGCATCCCCAGCCGGCAAACAGCAGGACGAGAGCATGGATATTGCAATATAACCAATACATATCCCAGAGCGGTTTTTGCAAATATAACACCATAAACTAAACAACATTCAACCACACAAAACCACGAGTCATGTAGGCCATCTATTTGCGCCAAAAGGGCAACGATCCTTGAAAGGGTCACCTGTACGAGTCACGGTCAAAAACATGTCCAAAATAGTGGAGTTGTCCTTGGCCAAAGACCGTTTTGGTGAGTATATGATCGATTTTCGAGTCCAAAAACTTTGGGATGCTTTTGGTGAGTCCGTTCTCGTCTTAGTCTTTACTATGTTGAGATCCGATTGCCACTCACAAACTAGTTTTTTTTTTAATTTGTTTAAAAGCATTGACCCATATTGACCCTATACCTATAGCTCCTGATTATAAATACGTGGGAATGGTAACCCCCCAAAGGTTCATTTCCCAACTCCTCGTCGGCTTCACTCGCTTACCTCCGCGTCCCGCCGTCCCGCCGTCCCGAATCCTCACCGGATGTGGGGTCAAAAACGGGCCAAGACACAGCGTAGTAATAGAGGTTCGGAATGACCGAGATCAAGCGGTCCGGATAGCAGCTGCCTGCGGAGCGCAGTGCGGGACTGCAGTGAGAAAAGCGGCCTGGACCTGGATGGGTGGATGATGTGAATATATGTCTTACAAAGGAGTTCTACTCCATTAGCTGCCAGTTCAGTTTCGATTCCATTTGCCTCTTTCTACGAAGAAGAAGGGATTCCACAAATTCACAAACTCAAGCATGGGCATAGGGGGGTGGATCAAGGACACAGCAATACCCAGTAGTTCAAACCCAGGAATATATACGCGCACGCACACACACACATATATATATAATATGCAATCACCTCTCTGCCCCTCTGGTCGGCCAAAGAATCCCAAGACCCCAAATGCATAAACTTTAGTCTGCAAGCTACTGCAAAAAGTTTTGCCTGGAACTACAGTACCCTTGGTACCTTTGATCCGTTCAACCCCAAAACCAACACACACCCAAACCCTCATAGACTGCTGAACCGCCTAAAACACCACCACCCATCTCCGACCCTTTGTGCGAGTTTCTACAAAATAGGGGCAGCGCCCAAAACACCACTATATGGGTCTGTGTTTAATAAAAGATCCCCAACCAATGAGTTTGGGCATGTTTGGGCATGTTTTGGTCTATGTCTATGTTCCTCCTTCCAGGGGGTCGAACTGGGAGGTCTCCCTAATTTTAATACACAACCATCTCCATCCATCTCCCTCTGGCCTGACATGCCCACCTGCTTCCCAGGCATGAACTCCAACGAGCCATGGGTTCCGAAGTGCAGCAAGGCGTCCGCCTAGCTACGCCGTGGAGCGTCGACGGAAGCCGACGGAGGTTCGGAGCTTCGTCGTTGACGAGTGTCCTGACTGGGTCGACCAGTCCACGAGCGGTGTGCTTCCATTTTGGAGCCGTGAATCTTGAGGGATGTGATGCAATTGTTTGTGATTAAAGTATATATGGATATAATGTATCTTAATATATATATATATATATGCAAATATATTTATAATAGCCCATATATGCTGCAAACATATGCAAACTATTGCAGAGCTTACTGTTTCCTCTCTTCATAGGTTGCAAACACCCCTGCCCCCAGTTGAATTTGAAGTGCCTTTTGGGTGGCGTCTGACTCGGTGTGCAAGAAAAATTGGAGTGTGCAGGGGGCTGGTGATCTACACATGTGAATCATTTCTGCAAGTATAACTCTATGGGACTTTGACAACAATCTGACAAACTTCTGGAACATGTTGGGAGGGACGGCTTCTTTCTTGGCCCTGCTGCCACATGACTCTTGAAGTTTTCAGGCAAAATATGGAACGCGCCAACACATCCATCTTTTCCAAACCCATATGGCTGTGGGTCAAAATCTGGGGCAACCCTGGTTGACCAACGAAAAATTAACAAGATTGAGAGACTACTGGGGAGGTCAACCTATTGGGGATTTAAGGGAGGCTGGTGAGGTCAATCCACAGCCATCTCTTCCGCCAGAGTACATGCGACAGTGGCTAGTGGCTCTTCCACACTCCATGATGAGTAGTACATTCATGCACGACCTGATTCCCAGACCACACGGCCACACATCAATGCTCACATGTGCTTCGGGATCAACATGGATCAATCGACGTAGGAGAATACAGCGACAGCGGTTGGGTCAGTTGGATCTCCCAGCCAGTTCTTAGGAGCAAGGACGCTACGAACTCCTGGCCTTACTATTAGGAGCAAGGACGCTACGAACGGAGCAAAGGTTTCCCCAAAAAATGGCGCCTTGAAGATGAACTCCAGGTAGGTGTAGAAGGCGGCGAAGCCGTGGTGCGGCGACGCCGACTTCGCAAAGAGCAGCCTGACCCACTTCGCAAAGAGCTCGGGGCGAGGGACGGAAGGAGGACGCACTTCTGAAGGGCCTTGTATAGTTCAAGGGATTCTGCGATTCTGCAAGCTTCAATCAAAGTGGCATCAAAGTGGCACAAGGTGTCCTTTAACTATTAATATGTCAGTATATATGAATGTGCTTTGCTGCATCATTAGCCCGACGACTCGGCATGATGTTGCTGGTCTTTGCCAAACGACCTCTTGTTGGCTTAAAGCATGTGGCCAACCCTTATCCCCCAGCACACATCGCCGCACAGTGGGGGTTGGCCTAGCTCCAGTTCGCCTCCTTCGTCCCTCCGCCTCATGGGATCTCCCTCGTAGCCGAAGGTGGGCTGAACACCCAGGAAAATGTTTCCAAAGTGCTTGCCTCGGGAGCCGTCTTCGGAGTGTGTGTGTGTGTGTCCACTCCTGTTTCCAAGGACACTACTCTAGTTTTTTCTAATCTACCCTACGAACTTGTCTGTACAGAAGCAGGGGGACAACCCCATGGATGCAGTTGGTTGTCCAACGAAGAGGGCTGCATTCCATGGCTGATATGATCCTGGGACGCTAGGATCACGTACCTGCAATTTTAATACTAAGTTTGATCTTCAATCGCTGATGTTTCTAAGTCAGTGCAACGCCGTCTCATACGTTGTTTCCTGCAGTATCTAGATTTAAAGGGCTAATGCACACCGCGAAGCTACCTGAAATCACGCTCCACGGAGCAACCTTCTCAAGTGTGTCTTCGCAGCTTCTTCCCACTGTGGTGAGCTGTGTGATCCCTACGGGGCGCCGTTACCGCAAGAACCTGATCACTCCTCACCGAGGGAGTAAGTTTCCTGAATTTTCTCTGAAGTCCCTTTGACTGAATTTTACCTGCTCGAAAAAATCAGCTTGGATCGTCTCACCCCGCACATGTGAAGAGTACTGCAGAGTTCACTGAAATCCTTTCTGAATCCCACTGCAGAGTCAACTGAAAGTGTTTCACCCGGAAATCCATTCTTTTCAAATTTTTTCAAATCCTTTTAACCTTCCAAGTTTTAATTCCATTTTCCAGAGTTCAATTTTCCAGAGTCTAATTGCGGTCAGTCAATACACTCCGACCTCACGGACCTCTATTTATTTTCATACATACATACATATTTTCACTGTCTTTGACTTGCCGAGCAGCCATGACGTATCCCTGGCCCTATTCTTTGCCGCCACACATCCATCAACAACCACAACCTACACAACCCCATTGGATTCAATATCCACCACAGGCTTCACCACAACCTTTTCCAACACTGCCACCGACTCCACCACAACACCCAACCTCACATCACTACCCATTGCCCCCTACACCTCCACCTCATGCTCAATACATCCCACCACATCAACTCCAGGCACATTTTCCAGTGCAACCCACGGCTCCCTTCGACACTGCCCAACTTACACAACAACATCCGCATCTCACAATTCAACCACCACAATCCCAAGCCCACACACATCTCACATTGCCACTTCAATCTCAACCTCAACCTCAGCCACCATCCCTACCTCCTCAACCACATCTACCACATCAACTACATCCATCACCACACACGACAAATCAAACCCCTGCCACACCTTCTTTTCAACCACCACCACTACACGCACCTGATGTGCTACAAGCACCACCACCTGATCCAACAACAATCACTTCACAGCAGTTGGCCACACCAACTCCACCACCACCACCTTACACTTCAACAACCTCACCAGCGACTACTCAACCTGCTTCAGCATCCATCAACACACCCGCACAGCCTCCGCCACCACACCACATACCACGCACTACCAAGCCAACGCCATCCATTGCACCCACACTCAGCACTACAAGAGGTATTTGGCGCGACCCAGATCGCTCACCACCACGCACACCTGAACATCACCGCTATTCAGCCTTTCCAGCCGTTCCCTCCATTGCACCATCACAAGCTACATCCAGATCCAGGAGCCGCACTCGATCACTACGTACCACGCGCTCTCCACTACCAAGACGTCGAAGCTCCGCCACCCAATCCGTGGCTAGCTCTCAAGCACAATCCAAACCTACAGATAGACAAGCATCACAATCACCAGCAATCACCCAAGACAAAGCTCACACTTCCATCCAAAACATCACTACCGCTACCACTGCCAAACACACTCCAGAGTCAACTCACCGTACTTCCAGCATTACACTCAAGCCCAACCCACATTTCACTCCCAAGCATTCCACAAAACAGACACTTCCACCACCACCCCCGGCACCAACACCTGCAGTTCCAGTACAGCGTCGACCTCACAACTTGCCTCCTCCAACATTCCAACCACCCACTGATCCAGTGTCTTCCAATGGCTCAACCGCTACGCACAAGCACTTGATGTCAAAAATGAACCCATGATCTCCTACGTAGCCAAGGTACTCAGTGCAGCTCATCTCAACAGCACCCACTTTACCGACCTACAACTCCTCACACACACAAAATGGAGCGATGACACCAACAAAGAAGAACATTATTCCTTCCTACTACTTACAATCCCCACATTAGCGAGCAGGGGCGACGCCCCGATTCTTCCTCCTACACGGAGAGAGGCGCTGAACATACCACCTATTAAACACATTTTTGCGGCACACGTTAGCGAGGAGGGCAACATCATTTCAATACTTGAAGCAGGAGAAATCGTGCGATCCATTCTGCATGATGATCACAACGTGGGCTATTTTTGTCAGGCGTTCGAATTGTCGAACTACGAGCCCCATGACGCTGCTGAAGCTGCACGCGTCCTCTTCAATGCTTCCAACATGGCCAAGAACCGCAGCGGCCTCATTCTGACGATCAAAGCCTATGGACACGGCCAGAAAGTCACTCATGGAGGCGAATCCGCAGCGAACGACTTGCTGCTCAGAGGAGAAGGGATTGTAAAATACACCCCAGGAAAATGCTGGGTGGCCCATCCCAAACATTCCAGAATAGAAGGGATAGCCTGGAAAAGCGATGCAAAGCCACCGCTCAGTTTCATTTAATTCAACCTATTCAGCTCACGAGGTTCGTTTTTTCACCCTGTATCTTGGATGACGACCTAGCCTCAAACAATCTCAGCCAGCTTGCTTGATATTGATATTGATTCTGGTTTTTCTCACACATCGTTGTCAACTTCCTTTTCTTCCGATATTTTATTCCTGTACAGATTGATGCCGGCAACAAGATCTTCTTTACGGTCACTTTTTCCAATTTTCCAGACTTGCAGCGTGTCAGCATTCCTGGTTGATATCAAGCTTTCTCAAGAGAGTCACAAGCATTTTGAAGAGAGTCGCAAGATTTCCTGTGTTTTGCATCCTGCCCCGCAGCCATTTTGTATTATCTTGAATATTGAACTCGATCCCTGACGACCACCCGAGCTATATTTGCTTCCCGACGAGTACCACGACGATGACTTCACCTTTGGACACAGCATTTGCCCATCTACTCCTTTTAGCGCACCTTCAAGCAGCCACCTCCATTGCTACTACTTTTCAGAACCTTCCACCATTTACACCGCAACCACTACAACATGCACATCACCCACTCACTACCACTCCACCTACTCCCCAAAGACCAGCCAGGCGCACTCCTCCACCACTGCAACCGCAGCCGTCTTTCTCACGCAGCCGCAGTCCACCTCCCGCCAAAGGCAAACCAT